GGTGCACTGGTCTGTTTAAACTATTTTTTTCTATTTTTTGGCTTGATTTTCAATACTCGCAGTTCTCTACGCTTCCTCGCAAGCTTCATCTAAAAAAAACTTGTTATATTTTACCTACTTCCCAACGACATGAACCGGATAAAATACCTACAAGCCTAAAACTATATAAAATCTTCCATGTGTAGATTGTCCACTTAACTTTCGATGGATATGTCTCCGTACACATGTACATATCTCTTATCTTATATATTAGTATTGCCATATTATCATACGAATTTGTGGTTTCTATATATTCACAGCACTTTGCGGCGGTAGATTCCGACGACGAGTTCGACGAAACGGGTGCGCTGATAGCCAATTCTCAGACAATACACAGAGTAGAACCCGAGAAGGCTATAGCTGTGGTTGTGACTACGGGAACCATAGAAATTGGTGGGTTGTAGAGCTACACATGTTTATGTGTATGTACTTGTATGTATGCATGTATCTGGTAGAATACATATGTTTATGTGTATGTTCTTGTATGTATGCATGTACTTTGTAGTATACATATGTTTATGTTCTTGTATGCATGTATGTTCTTGTATGTATGCATGTACTTTGTAGTATAGATATGTTTATGTGTCTGTACTTGTATGTATGCATGTATCTGGTAGAATACATATGTTTATGTGTATGTTCTTGTATGTATGTATGTACTTGTGTGTATGCATGTACTTTGTAGTATAGTATATATGTTTACGTGTATGTACTTGTATGTATGCATGTATCTGGTAGAATACATATGTTTATGTGTCTTTTCTTGTATGTATGTATGTACTTGTATGTATGCATATATTTTGTAGTATACATATGTTTGTGTGTATGTTCTTGTATGTATGTATGTTCTTGTATGTATGCATGTACTTTGTAGTATATATATGTTTATGTGTATGTACTTGTATGTATGCATGTATCTGGTAGAATAAATATGTTTATGTTCTTGTATGTATGTATGTACTTGTATGTATGCATGTACTTGTAGTATACATATGCTTTATGTGTATGTTTATGTATGTATGTATGTATGTACCCTGTAGAATACATGTTTATGTGCATGTTCTTGTATGTATGCATATACTACGAGTATACATATGTTTATATGTACGTTCTTGCAGTATATATGTATCTTATAGAATACATATGCCTATATTTATCATATTGTTCATGTATATATACATGCCAATTGTATGTGATTGTTCGTCTGTATGGCAATGCCATTCAATACGATTTCGCGCAATTTACGTACGGATCTTGCACTAGTACTCGAGGACGCTATCATAATATACATATATATACATACATCTGTATA